GAACCACTTGCCAAGAAACTTCATCGCTATCCCACATAAGAACACTGTAGAAGGTCTGCTCACAAACTTGTCCAATCTCCTTTCCAAGCTACCCAAGATTTTAGACTCTATAACCCCACTCGGTACATCATCAGATGCAGCATTCTCCACCTGGCCTCAGCATTCTGAACCTGACTATAAATACTCGCGTCCCTTCCACCCCAGGTAGATCTGTTTGTGACTTAAAAAAGCCCACTGTGTGGGCGAAACGTAGTCAATAAAGGATCACATTATACTACATGTGTGTTTATATTTCCACCAGCAAGAGGTACAGGGGTATCAGGAGTGTCCGAAGAGTGGTCTAAACACAAGGCAGGGTCAGAATGGGGTGCGGTATCAAGAAGGGGCCTGGGGGTAGTGGGTTCATGGATTGGGTTCTCCATGGTTAGGTTACTCCTTTGCTTTTTGTTTTTAAGAAAAAAAAAGAAAGAAAAGAAAATAAAAATAAAAAAAAAGAATAAAAAATGGGGGGAGCGGGGAGGAATAGTTTCCAGGAGGAATGAAAGGGCCGGAAATCTCCCTCCGCGCCCAAGAGGACCTCAGCACTGCTAGTAGCGCAGATGCAGCATGGAACCCGTGCCATACCCTACCCTTCATGCCAGTAAACCAGCAATCCGGGATAGCAACCTCACATCTGCCGAGCTACCTCGGTGGACAAAAGAGAGGGCGGCCGGATATCTGCCACAAAGCATACCTCCTTCGGCCACCACCCCCGGAATCCAAAAGGTGGCTTCCATAGATACACCCGTCGCCCAAAAGACACCCAAAGCTACTCCGGGATACCGGAGAGGGATCAGGACATCCCCAGGCGATCCAGATTCCACGGCAAACTACGCCACCGCCAAGAACCTCAACAGAATGGGATGGACCCCAGTGTCCTTTCCCCTACCTAGGAACTAGCACGCCTGTGGGAGAAATCCCAAAGGCCAAAAAGAGGAAGGGCAAAAGGGAGGGGTGGGGAGGAGGAGGAATGGAAAAAGGGGAGGATGGGATAGGGGAGGGGAGAATGGGGGGGTAATTAAGTTCGGTCTGAGGAAGACCGACAGGGCTAATTCCTCAGACCAAGAGCCTCTTCACCATGCCAAGGAGCCCCCCTTGAAGAGGGTTAAACCCACAAAGGTTACAACGCTGAAAGAGTTGGGTTCTAAGGGTGTAATAAAATTGGATCAGAGACCATGAGGGAAAAAGACTAACACAGAGTTAGTAAGGTCAGTAACAAGCCAAGATTATATATTACCACAAGTTTGTCAGTCCTCATGCTAAATATTCTCAGGCAAAAAAGACACAGTTTTCAGTGGACTTTTATTGAATTGTTTACATGTATTTCCCTAAGTTATGATATGAAAATGTAAAGTGTAAAGTATTTGGTAGACTGCAACCATCCAGGGAGGAACTGTACTACCATCCTGCCATAACAGTGTAATGGCAGCCTGGTAAATGTTTTGCACTCTGGCAACAGGTTGAACAGCAACCATCCAGAGAGGTACTACCTTCTTGTCACATGAATGTGAAACAAGCCTGTTAAATGTTCTGCACTCTGGCAACATGTTGGTAGGCACCAAGCATTCAGGAATGTACCCTTCTGTGTGAAAATTCTGGTAAATGTTTTGCACTCTGGCAATAGGTGGTAGACACCAAGCATCCAGGAAAGTACTACCATCTTGTGAATATGAAAAAAGAAGTCTGATAAATTTTGCACTCTGGGAGTAGGTTGTCTAACAATCTGCTTCCCCAAAATGCAAAACCTTTACCAGGCTTGTTTTCACTTGTAGGACAGTAGTATCCCAGTGGCTTTCTTAACAACACTGAGGTACGACCAATTTTCATACAACCAAAAAAAAAAAAAAAAAAAAAAAAAAAAAACAACTATTTCTATATTATACAATTAGGGTGATTGACACACACAAACTACTGTATAAAAAGACCCTTATTATGCAAGGCATTTTGGGCAGCCTTAAAACTAAATTATAATTACAAGTATAAAGAGAATAAGAAACTGAGTTTTTAAAATATTGGAGGTATTTAAAAAATTCAATAAAAAAAAAAAATAACTATTGATATATTAACACTTTCACTGTCCAGACCCCAAAATTAATATTGCACAGTGTCCACCCCCCCCACCCAAAAAAAAAAAAAAACTGAAATGGTAGAGAATCTCTTTCTGAAAGTAATGACACCAAAAGTATGAAATCTGATGAAAAATTTGCAGAATTACGCAGGTGCTAAGTTTAGCAGTCTCGGTGCAATTTACTTATCATCAATTTCATCGATTTTGTCCTACTTTAAGCCAGTTCCATTGTTCTAGGCGACTAAATTCTTAGCTATTTCACTAGTTTTCCTTCCATTCTATTGACCGAGCACAAGAAATTACCCATAATAAACCATAATAAACAGTGAAGACATTCCTGGCACAAACATTTCTTTTGTTCAATATTATTATTATTATAATCAAAAAGAAGCGCTAAGCCACAAGGGCTATACAGCTTTTGTTCAATAGTCTCATCTCCAGGACTCTCCTATATTACACCTGTCATCTCCAGGACTCTCCTATATATTATTACACCTGTCATCTCCAGGACTCAAGTCCGACCTGCCAGTTTCCCTGAACCCCTTCATAAATGTTACTTTGCTCACACTCCAACAGCACGTCAAGTATTAAAAACCATTTTTCTCCATTCAATAATGGGGGTAATGAACAGCAATAATGTGTCTGATTATCCTTGCTTTGAGAGGAGCCAAAAAATTGTTCCAGATATGGTCAGTTGTGGTTGCACTCATCTTGGTTAATCTTGTTGGTTTAGTTATTGCTGGTATGAGCAAGGAATTGTTACCTAAGAGGTACTCAGGTTGGCCAAGCCTGTGGATTGCGGGTCTTTAGGTTTTAGCAAATATACATTGCACTTATTCATTAGTGATACATGTAGTCACTACACATTAGTTCGTTGGAATAGTAGATGGCAGTCCCTCACCTCACTTGGCTAGGTCTGCAGCCATGAATGGCTGTGTACCCTGGAGCCAGATTTCAACAAGTATAACAAGAGATGTTTGAAGTTAGAGAATATACAAGTGCAAGGTCATTGTAGTGCTTACTTAAGGATCTAATGTTGTAGCTGGTGATGCAGACAACAGTTTTTGCTCTACTTGCTGTGTAGTATAGACAGTTAACCCTTCAACTGTCCAAACATAGATCTACGTTTACTCACGTAGATCTACGTTTTATTTTACATTTCAAAGCATGTAAAATACAACGTAGATCTATGTTTGGAGCACTAGCGGCAGAAACGTAGATTTATGTTTGGTCAGTTTAAGGGTTAATTTCAGAATACTCATTATTGTTTTTATCATGTAGGAGATTTAAATCAGGGTCAATGTCAGCATTCATGAACTATGAGGTGGGGATAGGAAAGTGGTGGACAAGGTAGATCTGTTAGTATAAAATACATAGTTGGTACGACTGTACAAATAAAATCAGTAATGAAATTAGAGACAATGTACAGAGTTGTAGTCTATGACTACACAAGACAAAATAAGGTAAAAAATTTTTAACCCTTTCACTGTCCAGACTCTAGAAATGAAGCCAGGTAGAGAATCTTTTTCTGAATGTAGTGACACCAAAAATACAAAATTTGAGGAAAAATTTCTGGCATTATGCAAGTACAAATTTACGTACCAGTGCTTTCTCCCACTTTCAGTCTTTTACTTTAGGCTAATTTCATTGTTCCAGTCGACCAAATTCTAGCTATTTCGCCAGTATATCTTCCATTCTAACAACTAAGCACAAGAAACTGCCCATTCAACTATTTTAACTACCCTATAAAGTGATTAGATTTCAGTAATTTGGCCAATTTCACACAATTAAAATAAGTCAATAGTGCTCAATGCCAACATTCCTGACAATAAAACATTTCCTCTGTTCATTAGTCACGTTCCTAAGCCTCTCCTATATTACACTTACTTTCCTTTTGAATTCTTCACATAAAAATAAAAGATTTGTTCTATTTCTTGGATAATAAAATATAACTAGGAAACATTGTTCATGGTTTTCAGCATCCCTGTAATTGATCAAACACATTAAACACACCGGCCTCTTCCTATATTACACTTACTTTCCATTTTGAATTCTTATTCATATAAAAATAGAAGATTTGTTCTATTTCTTGGATAATAAAATATTGTTCATGATTTACAGCATCCTTGTAATTGAATCAAACTTATTAAAAACCTATTAAACAGACTGAAGGTCTTACTGCTGCTCCTCTGGAATATTAGCAAAAACTGAATATTTTTGCTGAGCTGAGCTCAATTTTAAATTACTTCCAGTTCTGAAACCAATCAAAATCATCTCTATTTCAGTAGTAAATCTTCCAGTCTTATCAAATGAAATAGTGCTGTATGACCCTTATGGGTTTAGCACTTAGTTATGATTATAATCTATCAAATGATACCAAGAAACAGCCAATGAAACCATTTGAGAAAGCCCAACAAAGTTGCTATTTCCAGCCCCACACACGGTCAGTTTTGTCTTTCCCATCATGCACCGTGCAGGGCAGGATTTGTTGAGTGTTGACACTCACCACGCAGACCCATTCTTTCATATCTATGACAAAATTTACCACTCTCAGCTTATCTAAGTGAGCTGAACTCATGATGTAGAACTACACGAGGGACCCTGAGCTCAGTGATGTAGAACTACATGAGGGACCCTGAGCTCAGTGATGAACTACATGAGGGATCCTGAGCTGAGTGATGTAGAACTCCACGAGAGACCCTGAGCTCAGTGATGTAGAACTACACAAGGGACCCTGAGCTGAGTGATGTAGTTCTGTGATTGACACCAAAAGGGTTAAGCTAATAAAATAAAAACAATGCAGATAAACACAAGGTACAATGTTACAAAATGCACTATAGTAAAAAGGACAAAAAGGCAAAAAGAATTTATCTCAAGACAAACTGATAAGAAAATCAGAACAATGTAGAGAGTAAAAATTTAAATGTAACTTATTGCACAAAAAAGGTTGAAAACAAAGACAAAAGTTGAGGTAATCTGAGAGTGCAAGGAAAGAAATGACACACTGATCTAGCCAATGGAATATAACAAAATGTTTCTATAATAAACATAACGAACAATAAATGAAACAAGCCTGGTCGAGGTGTTGCACTCTTGCAGCAGGTTGGCAGGAAGGTAGTACCCACCTGTCATGTGTTGCACTCTGGCAGCAGGTTGGCAGGAAGGTAGTACCCACCTGTCATGTGTTGCACTCTTGCAGCAGGTTGGCAGGAAGGTAGTACCCACCTGTCATGTGTTGCACTCTGGCAGCAGGTTGGCAGGAAGGTAGTACCCACCTGTCATGTGTTGCACTCTGGCAGCAGGTTGGCAGGAAGGTAGTACCCACCTGTCATGTGTTGCACTCTGGCAGCAGGTTGGCAGGAAGGTAGTACCCACCTGTCATGTGTTGCACTCTGGCAGCAGGTTGGCAGGAAGGTAGTACCCACCTGTCATGTGTTGCACTCTGGCAGCAGGTTGGCAGGAAGGTAGTACCCACCTGTCATGTGTGTAATAAGTATTACATGTGTTGCACTCTGGCAGCAGGTTGGCAGGAAGGTAGTACCCACCTGTCATGTGTGTAATAAGTATTACATGTGTTGCACTCTGGCAGCAGGTTGGCAGGAAGGTAGTACCCACCTGTCATGTGTGTAATAAGTATTACATGTGTTGCACTCTGGCAGCAGGTTGGCAGGAAGGTAGTACCCATCTGTCGTGTGTGTAACAAGTGTTACATGTGTTGCACTCTGGCAGGACCGCTGGTGTGTTGTCTCACCAACATGCAACACAATGACAAGCAACTCTCACAAACTTCTACTTACATCACTATACACTTTACTTGGTGTGTTTCCTAATACATGTTATTTGTCTAGTATGTACTTGGTAATTTAGGAGGCCTGGTGTGATAGTGGCCCACCAGGGCCATCAAGCCTAGTGTGATAGTGGCCCACCAGGGCCATCAAGCCTAGTGTGATAGTGGCCCACCAGGGCCATCATCAGGCCTGGTGTGATAGCCCACTAGGGCCATCATCAGGCCTGGTGTGACAGCCCACTAGGGCCATCATCAGGCCTGGTGTGATAGTGGCCCACTAAGGCCATCATCAGGCCAGGTGTGATAGTGGCCTACTAGGGCCATCATCAGGCCTGGTGTGATAGCCCACTAGGGCCATCATCAGGCCTGGTGTGACAGCCCACTAGGGCCATCATCAGACCTGGTGTGATAGTGGCCCACTAAGGCCATTATCAGGCCAGGTGTGATAGTGGCCTACTAGGGCCATCATCAGGCCTGGTGTGACAGCCCACTAGGGCCATCATCAGGCCTGGTGTGATAGTGGCCCACTAAGGCCATCATCAGGCCAGGTGTGATAGTGGCCTACTAGGGCCATCATCAGGCCTGGTGTGACAGCCCACTAGGGCCATCATCAGGCCTGGTGTGATAGGGCCACTATGGCCATCATCAGGCCTGGTGTGATAGGGCCACTATGGCCATCAGGCCTAACTGGTGGGGCCATTACCACATAACCATCAACAGATAATTAACATAAGAACATCTTTTTATGCCCACTTTATTGCCATTGCGTCGGCATTATCAACACGCAGCATCACATTAACGTCGCCTTAAAAGTACGCCACATCCAAATATGTTAACAGCTATTTCATAAAATTAAAGATTCTAGAATGAATTATGCAGCAGGTAATACATCTGCCTCTGGGGAGAGAGATACAGGAGTGACGGGAGAGACTTGGTCGCCAGGTCTACGATAGGTTGCCCAGCGAGAGTCATCAGACTCGTGTGTAATGTACCGCACTCCTACTTTGTGTTCCAGATCTCTCAGGTCGCACCAGCACTGGTAGTCCTGCAGCCACACGTGTGCCAGTGACTTGTCCACTGTCAGACGTTTACGTTGTTTCACTTGTAGCAAGTTGGTGATCAGATCAATGGCTGAAACAAGACTACCATTAGCTTAATGCAGTCATAATACTATATTTGAAGTGTAACCAGTTAGAAGGACTTGAGTCCTGGAGGTGGGAAGAACAGTGTCTGTAGTATGGAGGACAGGAGGATGATGTAGTCCTGGAGGTGGGAAGAACAGTGTCATTAGTATGGAGGACTGGGGGGAGGGGTGATGTAGTCCTTGAGGTGGCAGGTACAATATCTACATTATGGAGGAGTGAGTGGTAATGTAGTCCTGGAGGTGGGAGGTACAGTGTAACAAAAAAAGGCACAATACCGTGGATGGAACAATACACAAATAACCCGCACATATGCCTTGTGTATTTGTTCCTTAATTATTCATTTCCCCTCCTCTGTGTTCTTGCTCCTACCCTGTGGGCACCTAGCTCCTTTGCAGTGCTCCTCTTTCTTAGTATTTGACTGGCTCCTCCTCCTCCTCACTACCTTCCCCAATACTACTGCCTTCTACCTCAACTACTACTACTACCTCCTGCCTATATATATCCTTCCTCTCCTTTTCGTTAGTGACTTTGTAAATGGTCCGAGTCGGACCAAGATGTCGTCGTAAGCTTCTCTCTTCTATGATTTAGGTACAGTATCTACATTTTGGAGCGGGGAGTGATGTAGTCCTGGAAGTGGGAGGTAAAGTATCTACATTATGGAGGAGTGGGGGGTGATGTAGTCCTGGAGGTGGGAGGTAAAGTATCTACATTATGGAGGAATGGGGGGTGATGTAGTTCTGGAGGTGGGAGGTAAAGTATCTACATTATGGAGGAATGGGGGGTGATGTAGTTCTGGAGGTGGGAGGTACACTGCTGAAACTCTTAAGTAAGAGTGGGGATGGTATAGTGTAGGGAATCATTTCATATCTGTACACTTGTGTTAAGTGAATAATCACTGACTAACTTGCCTTGTGTCACTACCACCTTGGTCACTGTGCTGATAAACATTACTTAACTTTGAGAAAATTTTTGAAGAGGTTTTACCTTTCTCTAATACTGAGCACCCTAGTTACTCCATCTCTTGGCATATTTGTATGAAAGTTTCAAGAAGTGAACATCCTGTACTTACCCTCTTGACTAATTTCTTTCCATGGGTTTGGAGGATACATGAAGGCAGCATTTTGAATTTGATCGTTAATGTCCTCATCCTCGTTGAAGGGGAAGGTACCAGAGAGGGAGACGTATGTGATAACGCCTACAGACCACATGTCAAGTGAACGATTGTAGCCCTTGTTCCGCAACACTTCTGGAGCTGTAACATTATACTTGTATTACTAACATTTTATACAGTGGAACTTGCTTAACAGAAATTATCTTAAGCAATTGGTCATTAACCCTTAAACTGTCCAAACGTAGATCTATGTTTGTACTGTTTGAGCTCCAAACACAAATCTACATTTTATTTTTCCTGCCTTCAAATTTGGCACGATTGGCCTGAGATGCCTGCTCAATATAGAATGGGTCTTAACACTCGGTGTGTGCAGTATTAAAAAATCTGGGACCACTTAGTGCCTTGTGGGTGCACCAGTTCAATTGAGAACCAGCTAGAGCAAATAGCATGGCAAACACCAGGGATCCACTGATGTCAAGTTGTGTTATTACTGTTCTTCCTGCTGAACAGCGGTTTAGTGCCGATGAAGGTAGCGTAGGTAGCAATGATACGGCCGTGGACTAGTTTGGCTTTAATTGGATAGGAGTGAGTACACAACGGGCAGTGTGAGGGAATAACCGCAAGCCAGTCCGTGGAGGGGGAGCACTTGTGCCTATCAAGTCGGTCAGCCAGGGAGTGAGAGCGAATGGGCTCAGCCTCCCACTGACCTGGGTGAGCCTACAGAGGGCAGCACTTAAATGCTGCGAAATATGAACTAGTCAGAACAGACGGCTAGGCTGTGTGTTCTGACAGTACAGGCTGTCTACAGTTGTATTAACACTACTCTTTTATGAGGAAAGTGATGCTGACCCAGAGTTTAGTGGCTTCGAGATGGATGTGGCCACAAGTGGTCGAGGAAATATCAAAAACCTCAATAATAACCCATGTGCAACATCCTTTCATTTCTGATACCACTGATAGCGTCATCCTGTCAGAATGTCCTATAACCTATGCCCTAAGTAAAGAGAAGTTTCTGGAACGTGTAATACGTATTCGGTTGGCTGGCTGGCTTTGGCTATCTCTCTGGCTGTATCTGTCTCTATCTGCCTCTATATCTCTGCGTCTATATATCTGTCTGTCTATATATCTGTATCTGTCTCTCTCAGGTACACATAAGTACAGTTATACATAGTGTAAATTACCTAGGATAACCCAAAAATTCCAGGCAAAGTGCTATACTGTGCTTGTAGATATAAGGCATAATAATATGCATGACTGGCAAGTAATACACATTTTTTACTTTATCAGGAATGAGACATGACAACTTTGCATCGTGTGTAATACCTGTTGGTTTACAAGCCGCTCTCCGAGACAGACAAGCAGACAGAAAGAGAGGCAGACAGACATAAGCAGAGCTAGACAGACAGATAAGCAGAGCTAGACAGATAAGCAGATCTAGACAAACAAAGACAGATAAGCAGAACTGGACAGACAGACGTGTTTGTGTGTAACAATGAAAACAAATCAAGCCAGGATTCCCTGGAGCAATGCATGTTCATCAAGTGTCATTCCACTGCCACACTGTCAGCAGTTTAGTGATGCTCATCTTAACACCATGCTTCAAGAAGTTTCATATATACTCCAGCATGTCTAAAACATTGCTGAGACCTATAAATACTTTCTACATGTTTCTAGATAAAAGTAAATGACCAAGGCAGGTGAAAATGTTCATCTGTCAGTGTGTTTGTGACTATCTGAGTACTATATTAGTGTCAGAACAAATATTGGCTATGAAATCACAAGAACTATTGTACATTGTAATTATCAGAACATAAAAATTACATAAATTAAAATAAAAATGAGAAAAAAGGTATATTGGCAACACTTCTGCAAGCAGCAGGACTCGATGTTGCCGTCAGGTGAGCATCCAGTGCCAACTTTGTGGTCTTATATCTTGGCAAGTATTGATCCTAAAAATTTTTGTCCGTCTTATTACACACAGAAAATTGACCTCTTTAATCTTTTTTTTTTTTTTCAAAATATTCGGAGTGCTGGTAGTGAAAATGCAGATCTATGTTTGGACAGTTTTAGGGTTAAATGAGATCTGATGTAGCAATTAATAAAGTGACTCAAAGAATTATGACATTAGATATTCTTTATGGAAGGTGTCTTAATGGTGAAATGCTCTTGGTCCAAGTGCCTGGAGATACTCTTCTATTCTTTGGATAAATCATTATTATCTTCCAAATACTATAATGACCTTTACAGGTTTAGTGCATCCAAGATGTATATATGAATGTATATAGTGTACACTTAAAAAACATTTACTCACCCAATACTAAATAAATATTGAATAACTGTATTTCATTAATGTATAACCCGTGACCCTATCAACCTGTTTATAAAGGTAATGGTACAAATTTGTACAACTACAATACATCGTAAGTGAAATGTTCAAATTTCATTGTTTAAAATACTCAATTGTATTTCATATTGTAAATTGTTTACTGTAATTTTTACCACTGAATCTATCATTGCTTAGTTAATCTTAAGTTAATTTTAAGCCTGTCCATAATGCTCTGCTTACAAGGGGCTTTTGTACACCCAACTATAATTCCTTGTACACTTATGTATCATGTCCAAATAAAAATTATTATTATGACATTGGTAAACAATGACAAGCTATTTATATATTAATGTGGGAAGCACTAAACCCATAGGGTTCATAGAGCACCTGGTTAATAGGGAGGTAATCCAGTGTGGGTCAAGGAAGGGAAGGATAGTTGACATTCCTTAACCAGCATCAAGGCAGCAACCACCTTAAAGGTTATATTAGTATATTACATTAAGTTCAACTTGAGCTCTTGGAGCACAATGGCTCATTTCTTAATTAATAATCACAACATTTTTGTCTTATTGACTAATTTTTATTGAGGCCTTGGCTAGCTATGTCTCTTGCCTAGTTCTACTTTCAATGTTTAGTTTACCTTGAGTGTTCAAGTACAACAATATATATACACAAGAGACACGTACAACACCTGTTATCTTTATCATCAACAAACTACCCAAGTGTTGTACACCTGTTTTATCAACATTTATATACCATTAATAAGTAAACCAACAATCAATCATTATCACTTACTGCCATACCTGCATGAGTGAGCTATCATAAAAAACAGATATTAACATACTGATGAACTACCTAATTATACTGTGCCTAAATAACTAGGTGTTCAAGCATACCTAAGTAATGAGGAGTCACAACATACCTAGGTATGCAGGTGTTCCAACCACAGATCTTCTGAAAGACTTTTCACCTATAATTCTGGCAAAGCCAAAATCACAAAGTTTAACTTGAGGGAAGTCACTAGCAGATGAGAGGAGCACGTTCTCTGGCTTGAGATCACAGTGAACAATGTTCTTACTGTGCAGGTGCTTCAGTGCAGCCAGGATCTGTCAGAAAGATAGGAGTCATACTCTGCCTGGGCAATGACAGGCAATTGGGTTCTACCCAAGGGGAGAACAGCTTCAGTTCCTTGAAACTAGAGCCCCCACCATTTTATCCCCCACATCCTTGAGAGGATACAATGGATAAGCCAAAAAGCAAAGAATTTAAATTGACAATGTTGCAACACAAAGTACTACTGTAATTTCGAAAATGAATGTAAATATAAGAACAATTTACACAAGTTTACTTACATATAACACTATAACCTAGCCAAGTGTATCATAAAGATATACTTGAGTGAGCTTTGTTCCATTACTGTGTGGACTGTGAGACGACAACCATCCAGGGGTACCACCATCCAGGCAGGGGTACCACCATCCACGGAGGAGTACCACCATCCAGGCAGGGGTACCACCATCCAGGCAGGGGTACCACCATCCAGGCAGGGGTACCACCATCCAGGGGTACCACCATCCAGGGGTACCACCATCCAGGGAGGGGTACCACCATCCAGGGGTACCACCATCCAGGGAGGGGTACCACCATCCAGGGGTACCACCATCCAGGGAGGGGTACCACCATCCAGGCAGGGGTACCACCATCCAGGGAGGAGTACCACCATCCAGGCAGGGGTACCACCATCCAGGGAGGGGTACCACCATCCAGGCAGGGGTACCACCATCCAGGGCAGGGGTACCACCATCCAGGCAGGGGTACCACCATCCAGGGGTACCACCATCCAGGGGTACCACCATCCAGGGAGGGGTACCACCATCCAGGGGTACCACCATCCAGGGAGGGGTACCACCATCCAGGGGGTACCACCATCCAGGGAGGGGTACCACCATCCAGGGAGGGGTACCACCATCCAGGGAGGGGTACCACCATCCAGGGAGGGGTAAACCACCATCCAGGGAGGGTACCACCATCCAGGCAGGGGTACCACCATCCAGGGAGGGGTACCACCATCCAGGGAGGGGTAACACCATCCAGGGAGGTGTACCACCATCCAGGGAGGAGTACCACCATCCAGGGAGGTGTACCACCATCCAGGGAGGTGTACCACCATCCAGGGAGGAGTACCACCATCCAG